AGTCAGCTACCCAAGAACAGAACTGGGCTGGCAGACTCGCCACGCTTGTCGATAGCCTCACCCCAGATATGAGTTAAGTACGCTAGAAGATCACGTGGCCCCTGCCCATGCACCTATAGCAGTGCGAAGGTCAAGGCTCCAGCCCACCTTCAGCCTGTCGCCCTCTACCACCTTTTTGGCCGCCTCTACGGGACACCTCACCTTGGCGAACCCGTTGCCTCCCGATCCGGAGAGAATCTCCCCCACCTCTACCTTGCAGGCCCGACAGCCTCCCTTTTCCGCCACAGCCTGCACCAGCTCCTCCGCCGTCACTGTTTCATCCAGCCCGGTGATCCGCAGATCGGCTACCCTCTCTGGCCTGCCGACCTCCACGTACTCCGTCATCACCTCGCCGATGCGCTTCGCGAGGGCATCGGCCTTTACGGGACTGTCCGGTCCCGGGACCACCAAGAGTTTTGTCCCCATCCGGCTTTCCCGGATCTGGAGACCTCCCTCTATGCCGACCTCCTGGAGTCTCACCTTCTCCCTGGCCATCTCCAGCACCTTCGTGTAGGTGACCCCTTTATCCTTCGCGGTCGGCGTCAGTTTCAAGGACACAGCCGCGGTGTTTGGCACCCTCATTTTCGCTCTCCCACCCTTCGGTCGCTGCGCTTTCTTTGGCAATGGCGCGCGCGTCCTCGCCACCTCCGGCACATGGGTTGCTCTTGGGCCCGCACCCTTCTTTTTCGCCGGTTTTTGGCCACAGCACTCCAGGTTTCCACCACCGCTGCGGCCTTCTTCCCCTCCGTCTCTGCGCCACGCTGGTCCGCTGCAAGGGGCGGCCTGAACCGATCCGACGGCGGAAGCCTCTTCTCGAGGGAAGCCAGCCGAGTGCTGACCAGAGTCCCCTATGGATATCATAAGGGAGCGTTTCAGCTCCTCGACGGCGTCCAGTGGCACCAATTGTGTGGTTGGAAGAGGCGCTCTCTCCTCCATCGCTCTCCTCAGCGATCCCAACTCCGCTTGCAATTTGTCCACCTCAGCCTTCGTTTTCTAGCTTTCCTTTTGGAGACGGATGTTCTCCTCCTCTATCTGCTCCATCCTTTCTGTGTCCTTGGACCTCCGCAGGGCCATCTCCAGGAATTTCATGATCTCCTTTGTTGCCCGATAGGCCATCTCAGCGTGCTTTTTGCTCACCGGGTATTCATCCACCACGGAATCGAGGTATCTCAGACGCTGTTCAACCTGGAACCTGATCCCCGAAATCATCGCTTTCGTCCTCCGCAGGGGAAACTGGGGAAGCTTTACGCTTACCCTTCTCCTTACGGGTCGTGCACGACTTGGGGGCATTGATGTTGAGCCCACCCCATCCTCTCCGTTCCCGCCGCCTCTAAGGCGCAGGATGCCTACTCCCTCGATCGCCTCGGTAACTAATTTACCACTGCGGGACCCGGTAATCCCGCAGCGCCGGTGGCCAGCCGGAGCGCATTGGCCGCTAGTTACTCACTTCTCACCCTGGGGCCCAGCTACCCCAGAGCGTCCGGCGTCAACGGGAGCGCATGACATACTCACAACATAATTGGACATTTCTCATAGTTTTTCCCTCTTCCGGGCGAGGGAACCCTACCTGGCCTCTTCAAGGGTGATTTTTGAAAAGGTTTTCTTCCTTGTAGCCCCCGCCCCGAAGGACGGCGGTCCCCGGCCCCACACCACGTGCGGGGTTACGGGTTGGCCGGAGGCGACGCGGAGTTCGCGCCGCAACCGCCCTCACCAATGGCGTTTGCGACGCGGAGTTCGCGCCGCAACCGCCCTCACCAATGGCGTTTCCGCCTCAACCTACAGAGTCTCGACCACCGCTACCCGGGCTACCCAGGGCGCCGGCCGAGAGACCCCTCGGGTGATTTTTTAGAGAGGTTGTCTTCCTCGCAGCCCCTACCTCCAAAGGAAACAGTTCCTTTGCAGACGGCGACCCTCGGCCCTGCACTATGTGCAGGGTTACGACCTTGACCCGACTGTCGCTACCCGGGATACCCAGGACGCCAGCCGAGACCACCACCGGGTAATTTTTTAGAGAAGTTGTCTTCCTCGTAGCCCCCGCCTCCAAAGGAAACAGTTCCTTTGCAAGCGACGGCCCTCGGCCCCGCATTATGTGCAGGGTTACGAGCTTGACCCGACTGCTGCTACCCGGGATACCCAGGACGCCAGCCAGGTCTCCACAGCTGGGTATGGTCCACGCCGGCCGAAGCCGGTACCCCCCATCCGCCACCCGGGAGGACGCGCCCGATAGCAGACCCAGCCAAACTGCCACGGGGCGCCAGTTACCTGCACGGACCGGTTCCTATAAGCGTTGCTGGTAGGCTGCCAGCTTCCTTTCTGTATACGGCCTTAAGCTGGTTGACAGCACACGCCGAGGCGGTCGGGTGCCGGGTGGTTCAGGTGCGCTATGGCTATGACCATTATCACGGTAATATTATCTATACAGTAATCTATCTTCATACAAACGGTCGGAAAGCGTGTCATACCTACGCCACTCGAGTTCGCGCGGCACCCGGTGGGCATCGCCGCGAACCACCAGTCGCGAATGCGCCGCAGCGACGACCGTTTTTAAGCAGTTAGCCGTGGTTAAGCGTGCGATTTGTATTGTGAGTATTTGATTGAATTAAGTAGATACCTACACAATTTAATATGGCAAAGAGCAATAGTCGATATGGTGCTGTTTTTAGTTGCTTGAACTCTTCAATACCGCACCCAATTAAAAAAAACTCATCAATTGTAAAGTAGCTGCAGGTATATATAACCAAGTTAAAGATACTCCCTTTTCTGCTCCTTGCCAATGTTTCCCTAAAGTATTTTTAATTAAACTTTTTATACGAATGCGTATTTATTATACTATTAAATTGAATAATAAAGCTTTTCGTGCGTCTCAGTCGAGGCGTAAATATTTTTCTGTCTCAAAATCTATAATTCTTTTTTATTAAATATTACCTAAAAATAACATGTATTTTATTGAACACTTCCTAATTCATTCACAACATTTTTTTTACATATAAAATAAAATAATTACAATCACAGATCTAGAAAGAAACTCAATAGGCTAGTTGACTCATGTCAAATTGTATGAAATAAATGTTTATTTCTTAAAGTATTTGGTCTAAGGAAACTAAATATATCGATTTCACTTCATAAAATCAGAAGATTGCTGTAGAAATTTAATTTAAAAAATATTTTTTGATCTATATTTTTTAAACACTAAAAACGCTGTTCGCCACATCCGCCATGATTGTGACGTCTCTTGTAGTAAACATAACTAAATGTCATTGGCGTGTTACTGTGGGTGGATTCTTTCGTCTGACTAAATTTATCTTAAAACACTTTTAACTTTAGAAAAGTTTCTGTTTACTGTTTGTTGAGTTATAAAACGACGTCTCATGCTTATAGAAAAACAGTGCTCAATAAATCATCTCAAAGGACACACGTATTTACATTGCACTCCGTGCCTGCAGTAAGACATCGACCCTATTGCCATCAGCATAAGCCACACTGTTTTTTTTTGACAAAACTAATTATTATAATAAACTAACTATTTTGTGAAACCAGAAAGCACAAATCTGCCAAGAATTGACGCATTGATGGTTGGTGAATTTTTTGCACTAAACCCCGATTTGGGGAGGCATCTATGTAAGTACAGTGAATTTAGTATTACAATGTAGTAATAAACATAAAACTGATACAACATAAGAATAAGTGTAATAAAGTTGCGTAGGTTAATTTCTTTCGGCACTTTAATCCACAACTTTCCTGGAGATGTGTTTTTATATTCTCGTACAATACAATAATGATAATTACTTTATTTTTCGTGGTATTTATTATAAATCATGTTTATTTTATTATAAACTCAGATAAGTTATTTTCTACGTGCTTACTTGTATTTGTTTAATACAGTTGACGTCATAGCATAGATAATCTATAGACTAAAATGGCCGACAGCGTTTTTGTATGTCCATGAAAAGTCTTTTTTAAAATTAAAAATTTGTAGCTTTCTAGGTCTCAAAAAGATACAATACATTTTTTTCGGTCTAATAGAACATTTATTAACCATTTAAAACCTTTTTCCAAAAAGGGTCAACTAGCCTATTATGTAGATGAAATTAAAATACCGAAGGCGGGCAGCCCTACCGCGTGTTTACATCCCGCTCGGCCGTAGACAGTTATTTCAAGGATAGGGCCGAGTCAAAATACTGTATAGATAATATTACCGTGCCATTATGGTGCTCTTTTTGCCTACCCCGTCCGGGAAACGGCGCGGCAGCGTTAAGAAAAGCGTGTATGTTTTATCTATTGTTTAATTATTACTGGGATTAATATATACCTGCATAGGTGTTATTATATGAGGGTATTTAACAGATTTCACACTACATGATAAGTTTATTATCTAATACACTCCCCGAAAAAAAAAGGGTCAACCTGAAAACAGTAATATCATATATTTCGGCGTAGCTTCTAGACATTCATTACCCTTAGCACGAACCAATATCGAATTCGTATCGTTTGCGAGTCCGAAATGTCATTGTCAAAAGTGTACTGATTTTTAGTTCTCGTTGCGTACTTTGTGCCGCTGCTGTTCAAGTTTCCAAACTATTCTAATTCGATATTGGTTCGTGCTAAGGGTCTAGATGTGCTTGTAACAGCCTAAACTGAATAAATGATTTTAATTATGATTATGATTGATTATTCTTCAAATGATTATTTTGAACAATACTGTGTATTATTTCATGAGTATTTTTTTCAGATTCTCTTTAATTCAAAGATCTAGCTAATATTCTTCCAAAGTTAATATTAGGAGAAACTTTATCTTTGCGGGCGAGTGTATATCAATAGGAAGTGTTTATTTAGATATCATTGTCCATTCTTAATCTATATATATTTATGGATTGCTGTTGACTCACATTTATTTACCTTGTTTAAAATCTTCATGAAATAATATTGAAATGTGTTCATATGTATAGTAGGTATTTACTCACATTGATCATATTTATGTTCATAGCAGTATAAGGTCCAGAATGCAGTTGATTTACCGATTTCATGGCTTCTTCTAGAGATGTCCTATAATCGATCATAACATTTAACAATCGATTTAACTGCAAAACCCAAATAAATGGTAGATTTAAGGTCATATTGCAAAATCGTAACATGTTTGGTGATAGGTAGTCCCATCCGATTTACAAAAAGCTGTTCCCGACGTCGAGTACGACGATTTGAACAGGCTCCTCAGTTAAAATGAAGAAAGAAGAAAGAAAAAAAAAGAAGGGAGTCGGTTTAAAAGAAAATTCTACTAAAAACAATTTATCTCGACCAAGGGTAATACGACCTTGGCTCAGTAATTCTCGTCATTTTCTTTAGTGTTTTTTTATTTTTCATTAAATATTTTCTTTTGATATAAAAATTGGTAAAATAAAGCAATTATTTTGTAATTTTTTGGTTATTATTAAAACTTGATACATAGTTTTAATAATAACCAAAAAAATACAAAATGATTTTCCCACTGTACCCACTATTTGAGGAGCTCGATGGCGCAGGTGGCTAGCGCATACGGCCCGCGATCGTGAAAGTTCAACTTTCGTCATTGGATGGGTGACTAAAAACTCATGATTTCGAGCTTGAGCTTCGTGCTTCGGCAAGCACGTTAAACCGGTGGTCCTGGTTGCATCTGCAGTCGTTAGCACCAACCAATCCGCACTGGGCCCGCGTGGTGGGTCACGGCCCAGTCTCCCTATTCCATCCATAGAGGAGGTTTGTGCAGTGGGACATCAATAGGCTGATGATGATGATGTTGACATACCCACTGTGCAAGAGCACATTCATCATCGAATTTAAGGAATACTCCTCATCTCAATTAGGTACCTACTCCAATTTACTCACCTTTGTTACTGCAACATCTTTTGGCATAAAAGATCCATGACCACCTATACCCTCGACTGTGAACTTCATTGCTGAAATTTTAACTTCTAATCATATTTATGTAGATAACAAAACAGCAAACGTTAAAGTAATCATAAAGATTATGGAGATTTCGAAATTTTATGGTTTCTTCTTTACATCATATAATATACCTACCTAGTCAAGTCATAAATTCTGTCACATGTTTAATATAAAATAATTGAAACAAGTTTATTCATTATGTAACTATTTATATAACAAAATGAACTTAACAAAACATAGATTCTTATGACAATAAAGTATATTCAAAGGTTTTTCACGTGATTTTGAATATAGGCCTCCAATCTGCGCGGCCAGTCGTCTATCGCAGACGAGCACGAACGAGGTCCATGTCAATATCGGCGGCTGCCTTAATCAAGGATGTCTTGAGTGGCTCCAAATTGCGATGAGGCTTTGAGCACGCCTTTTCCTCCAAGTGTTGCCATATCTTGTAATCTAACGGACTTAAATCTGGACTGGATGAGGGCCAGTCTTCGTGCCGGATGAAGTCGATTTCACGCGCCGCCAGCCAGTCTTGTGTGCTTTTCGCTCTATGAGCTGGCGCCTAATCTTCTTGGAATACCCAGTGCCTGTGCGTATTGAACATGGTATGAGAAACAGGTTCCACACGGTTCGTCAGGACTGTATTTGATACAGAACTGCATTCGTTTTTACACCTTTCTCACAAAAATGTACCTCTGTTAAGCCCCAATATGAAACTCCCAACCATAACATGAGTGAGGATGGAAAATGACCTCGTTGGACACGCGGAATACGGTTGCTCGCTTCTTCACTACTGTGCACCTTATCATTTTGTTTGTTGTAGCTCTCTTCTTCGGTAAAAATTTTTTCATCCAAAAAAAGAATTTCCAGATATTTTTTTTCCCGCGTACCGCTTCAACAAAGCGCGGCATCTCTTCAGTCTCAGGTCCATTAGACGAGCATTCAAACGATGTCCTGTTTTTTTCTTCGATATGCCCGAAGCCCTAAGTCTTAACACCCTTTTCACCGTGGTTCTGCTTAACCCCATCTGAAGGGCCAACAGTTTCTGCTTACGTTTGAGATTTCTTTGAATTCGCTCCTTCACAGCTTTTATCACTGCTGGAGTCCTAAGAGACCGAGGGCGACCACTTCTTGACCTGTCATCTACACTAGTCTTCATTGTATCGTTTGATGGTACGATAAACAAATCTTTTGGTTATATTCAAAATTTTCAGTATGTCAAAAATTTGAATTGGCGCGTAACCGCAACGATGCATATAACTGCAACACGGTCTTCTTTAAGCGTCCAATCCATATTTAAAAATTAGTAAAATTCTTAAATTAATTTTCATGAACAATTCGAAATTCGAATTCAATAAACTTTTTTGTGGCCAGCATTCTAAAAGAAAAGTTTTTACAGTGTGTTAATACTTATGACCTGACTGTATATATATATAATAATAAAAAGTATAAGTTAGCATTTCATCATGTCTAGATTAAATGAAAATAACAATATTAACTTAATATACCTACTTATTATTTTAACAAGGGTTATAAAGACATATTAATTTTTAGGTACCTAGTAAAACAAAGAATTTATTAAGTGCAATATAAATCTTATCGCTATTAGATATGAATAATATTTATTTTTCATTAGACGCAATTCATACGTACACCATGCTCGCTTGTCTTGATATGTCACATACAAATTTTCATCCGATTGGCTGCCGAGACCTTCATCTAATACAAATCCAACGTTAAGTTCTTTAAACTTTTTCATCTTCAGAAATTCTCGCATTCCTTGAAATCCCCCAATTTCTTCGTCTACGGAGGATAAAAACATAAATATTTATGTATACATAATTTTCAGGGCACATTCTTAACATAATTTTCAGTACCAAATCTATTGTTTCCATAGGTCCCTAACTTAAAAAAATCCGGAAGAGGTAGAGTCGCATATTAAGAGGACTCGTATCATCAAAAAACAGGAGAAGTGCGATGCGACTCAACCACAAAGGGTTCCGTACTGTGTTATAGGTGAAATTATAGCTAAACTATAATTTGATTTCCAAAAAACACTTTTGAAATCGCAGTTCCATGGGCCAAGTTAGTGAAATGTCCATGCGCAGTTTAAACCCAACCTAACCTACATTTCTGGCAGTAGTTCGTTTATGCTTTTACGTTATACAAGTTGAATGTGTGAATTGAAAATATTAACAAAAAATTTTGGTCTTTGATATTTGCCAATTTGCTTATAAATCATTGGACATAATAAAACTTGACGACCTAATAAAATGATGTCATATGATTTTTTTTACCAAGTAAATAAAAAACGAAATGTAATGGAAATTAAACTTAGGCAATAAGTCTTTTGGATTAATTCGGCGAAAAAATGTTGCCCAAAGGCAGTACTCCATAAATTTCATTTATAACACATTTGCTCGTAAAGAGTCTCTTATTGCACCAATTTCAATATCATAATCTAAAACATTACACAAACGTGCGGTAATGTAAAGTAAAACGCACGGCTTATTATGTTCCGTCTAAAAACGAACGATACTTTTTTAAATCTTAGCAAAGACTTTTTATGTCAGAAAGGTAGCCAACATTTTCTTAATAAAATTAACTTTGGGAGATAAAATATAATATATAAACATTTAATTCTTTAATTTGATTAATTTTGACAATAAATTACAACCGGTAACAAATTCACAAAAATATTAAATTACTTTATTAGTAACACTGGCTGTTTTTTGTTCTTTTGCCTAAAGAAAGCGTTGATGCGCGCGCATCGCTAATCTGTGAAAATATATTTCTTTCTCTTTTTGCTGTATTGTTTTTTTTTGAAAATATTGTCAAGTAGCAGCGAATTTATTAATTTGACACCGCCAAAAGTCGAAAAAGGCTACGCTAAGCCACTGTGCCGAAAAAGCCACGGATAGATACTTACAGTCAAGCGTATCAAAATTTCATCTTATGGAAAACAAACAAAGGTTCAAATTCATTCACAGAAAGTACTCGCAAATGTGTTATAAAACGTCGTATGACATAGGCACGTGCGGTTTGATAATTACAGCCTCTGCCCTCTTATAGCCCTCACCTAATATCGCCTCGGCTGTAATTCCCAACTTAGCGCACTTATATCATAATGTACTATTCTAAATCACAAAGTGTGAATAAAGTAACTGAAAAAAAAACCAAATCATCGTCATGATTCTTATTGATCCTGCGACGATGGCGCGGGTACATCGGTTTTTGTGGCTCGTGCTAACGCTTTATGGGGTGTGAATGGCCTGTTACATTTAAACCGTCCAAATTGCTTTCTAGCACAAGCTTGGAAAGTAGTACCTCTTTTAGAGTTATATTGCCATGGTACCTCAACTAGCAAATCTATGTCATAAGAAAATCAGCAGCACGTTTCTATTTCAGCTATTATTAGTGGTGAGACTGATTTTCAAAATTTCGAGCGAGCGATCTGTACACGTTCACTCGATATGATTTGGGCGCACTTCTTTCAGCTTTTAATACTATGAATATTGTAAAATTATCGTTTAAATAACCAAATAGTCGAAAGAATATCGAGTAATCGCAACGGGCTGGATTCAGAATCAAGTCGCCTGAATTTGAGGCTACTGGATTTGTAAGGGGTTAAAGTAATATCGTTTTTGCCTCCCTAAAGTAACTGATTGCCGGAGATGCGTATAAATATTTTAAAAATATTTTCAAAAATTCGTAACATAAAATTGTAAATGAGTGGACCGTACGTAACGTAGTTTTGTATAATTGTTGTCTTTAAAGCAAAATATTAAACAAGCGCATGAAACGAAACGCAAAGCGCCGTTTTGAATGTAGATTTTGACAGATACGTTGTGCGTCATTCATTCCGTTGCTTTCGAGTTTTAGTGAATGTGCTCCCGTGATAAAATTTGTGATATTTTAACGATTTGGCTACGTTTTTCAGTGTGTGACATTCGCTGACGAAAACGGATTGGTGTTAACTCAAAAAATATGCAGAACACATCGCGGCTAAACTGTACTTCCAGAACCCAAGTGGTGATACTTCACACTAGGTTAGGTTGGTGTTGTGATCATACCGCGCGAGCCGAGCGAGCGAAACGAGCGTGTTGCGGTAGCGGCCGGCGAAGCTCCAAAAAAATTTTTTTTTAAAAGAGCCTTTTTCTATGAAAGTTAATAAGTATTTCCGGCGACTGGAAATAGTGGGGGGAGATTCAATTCCCTCCCCCATCCCTCCCCCCTCCCACGCAAACCCCAAAACGGGCAACTTATTTCTAAATTTTTACCAGCTGTCATGAGACTTATATTAGTATAAAGATGATCGAAATATGTCTTCATAAAATTATCGAGTGAATCCGTTATAAATCCGTAGAGTAAACGTTAACTAGACATGCTTTTGCAGCCAAAAAGCGTTCAATGCAATAAAATCCAGAAAGATGCGTTTAAACGGATTTTTAGGGTTTCCCAGTCCGGACAAGGAACCATAAAAGTTTCGTCGTGTCCGTCTGTCTTTCCGTCCTCGGCTTGCTTGGAGACCCTTAGTACTAGAGAGCTGTAACTTTGTGAAGATATGTATATTAATCATGCCGACGAAATGGTAGAAAAAAAAAAGGTAGCTCCCCTATATGTAACCTGGAGATGATTTTATTTTTTCATTGTTTATCACATCGTGTGAGGTATAGTTGAATAGGTCCTTTAAAATTACTCGGGGTTATTAAGACGATTTTTCGATTTAGGGATCCGTTTGCGAAATATTGAATATTAAAATGATAATTTTTGTTCTTGTAAACTTGAAGGTTAAAAGTCTTATCATTGAGGTCGACCGGATTAAACTACAATCAAAAACAACCAGCTTTCCTCCAACACCGAACTACTCATACCAGGTGCGGCTTCAGAGTCCGGGTGACGTGTACAACCGAACTATCGCAAGACTACCTGCTACTAGAGGCGGACGAAATACTAACCAGGCATATACGTTACGTGTATTGTGCGCTGCAGTGTAACATTTTGATTCTTTAACCTCCGTATCGCTTCTATGTATTGGATGCCAAGGTCCTTACTGTCTTGCGCGCCACGTGCATAAATGTTACAGTGTTCATCGATGTGGGCCGCGTATGGTGGATACATCCAGCCAACCTTTAATACACAACATTAGAAAGCATTTTAATATCAGGATTTTCTGGTAAGCACGAAATAGCAATTCGCAATAGCTCGTTTTAGAACCTCTAGCTAGTAAGCTCCGTTGATCATGGTACTTTATCTTTCAATGTTATTTTTAATTTACTTAAGTACACAGCTGTACACACAATGAAGTACAGAACGTCAACAAATTGGTTCGTTACAAATTGGTTCTTTGTTTATAAGTTTTAGTCATTATATTTGCATACCTGAGAGAAAACACAAAGGATGAGAAAAAAAAACGCTTACGTGCATTGAATAATTTTCTAAATCATGTTTTTGATACAAAATAACATTACTCAGTAGGCAAAAATATTACTCACGTATCTACATTACAATTTTTTCTAGAAAAAGCACAAGACATAAATTTAATTTATTATTATGTATTATTGTTGTATTTATTATATATTTTTTTAACCATTTAGCTGCTCTATGTTTAAATATAAGTAAAATATTACTAGAAAAAAATCAATGCGGACCAGGCAGCAGACGGGTCTCGAAGCCGCACCATTCGATATCAGGGCGAATGGACTGGCATTATGCTACCGCGGCCATGATGGTCGTTTCGAATTCTTTCTAGTCTTTCTTCAGCTGCAAGGCAGCGCCATCTCTTCGCATTGTAGGTGTATGCAACCCACAATATATTATTTCCTAGTTTTTAGGGTTGTGACGAAGGGGTGGTGCTATTCTAGGCCTGCACATCACGACATACATAAATTACAATAAATATAATATAAATAGATGCAAACTATAAATAAAAAAAGAGATTACGTATTCAAGTCAGGTAGTGTTCACGCACTTGTTTTTTGAACTACATCTTATTGTTAGAATTACGAATGCTAAGCATGGTAGAGCATTCCACAGGCGTATGGCAGTAACAGTCAAAGGTTTGGATCCAAAGCCAGAATGATGAGTGGGGATTGTTAGACTAAAATTTCTGCACGAGCGAAAATCACGATGGTTGGAAGTGCCCAGAAATTGAAATCTAGATTTCAGGTAGTAATTCTTGGTACTTAACGTTAGAAAGATATTGGTTTACATTACCGTTGTACAATAATGGGTTCAAGTTACTTGAATCAAGCAAAGCGAATTGACGATAACTACCTAAAATAATGACCTGGCATTTTAATGGATATACAAAGATACCATAGAAGTTCGACAATCAAAGATTTTTTGTATATCATGATTTAAGCAATATATCATGAATTGAGCAGCCGCTAAATTATGCATTTCGGCTTGAACGTAGAGTTGGAAATCGTCAGCATCCAGATAGTAAGAGGATTGAATCAAGTTAGTAAGGAAATTAATAAAATGTGAAAACAGAAGAAGAAAGAGAATGCCGCCCTGTGAAACACAAGCAGTAATATCGCAAAAGCTAAAGATACTTTGATCAATACGAACAGCCTGTTGAATTCCACGAAGATAAGAAAAGAACTAGGTCCTCACCGAAGAAGAGTGAGGATTGCAAGGAGACTGACGAAGTCGACCATGTTGAAAGCGTTAAAAAAACAATCAGGACTATACTGTCAACTGCGATTTCTCCATGCCGAATCGAACTTCATCATCGCAATAACACATCCGATATAGTAGACCGATAAGAAATTTGCCTGTGGGGTTGAGGTCCTTTAAGGAACTAATTACTCCAGTGTGAAGAATTCAAGTGTAAATTCTAATTAGATGTCTTATTCTATGTACTTAGTTGTATGTAATCTAGTGTAATGAATTCAAGTATAAAATTTAATCTTATCACCAACACCGTCAGCTTCCACGACGTCGACATGCGAGTTGAGCATGATGCTAGGCAGCGAGGACTCTGTCCCGGGCCAAGTTAGGACGCATATCGGCTTGCCGGCTGGTTCGTAGACCGCAAACTCCAGGCCGATATCAGTAGCTAGCGATTGTAATAGATTTACAGCTTTATCTGAAAAATAAATCACATGATTGGCGAAATGCGAAAGGAATTCTACGCTATGAGAAATAGCGAAATGTACTAAAAGGAGTCTCGTGCCGGTATTAATAATTAAAATAATAACTCCAATGATACACACTGGGTTTATGAGAACGTCGACTCTGTTTGTTAGAAAATAGAAGGATTTGTTTTTGCCTTATAAAGGTCGAGATAAACAGTATCCACAACACACATACGTGAATCCTCCAGTAGCTCCTATACAAAAAGACTGACGGGCGGGCCCAATAGACATGGCCGATTGTGTAACGTGGTGTTCTTACAATCTACAAGTTTTAATTTTGGCGAAGGCGCATGGTAGTTTTCAGGAAGTTACAGGATTTGGTACCGCCCCTTTAATATACCTAATTGGCTGGTTTTTGCAGCAGCCGCAACTTCAGTGAAATTTTAAATATTTGGTTTTAAAATTAATAATAGGCTAGTTAACTCTAGTCAAATTGCACTATAAAAATATTTATTTCTTATAATGTTTGGTATGAGGAACCTAAATACATCGATTTCACTTCATAAAATTAGGAGATGGCTGTAGTAATTTAATTTGAAAAATGTCGAATCACAAGTAAAATAACAGATTTTTGTTATTTTCAAGCGGTCTATGTTGGTCGATTTATTTACCGAAGTGAAAATCTATTGAGGTGAGTGGAATTCCATCTGTTTCAATGCAGATTTCGCAATACGTCAGGAACATTTTCTGAGTTTGTTTTTATTACAGATAGAAAGAAAGAAAAGAACTTCAAGCGCTGGCATGAAGTGTTGTGCCAGCAACTTCAGCCAGGAAAATTTTGAAATGGGGTGGAGGGAAGCAGGCGATTGAATTCCTTGCTAAAACAGGAGGACGTTCAGATAACAACCTGGTAAGACTGCTTTTCCACCAGAGATATGCTATGCTACGTTGCTGTGGATGCGTTTGATATCCACCAATGAAATTCATTGGTCCACATAGCATAGCACTGGTGGAAACGGGTTCAACTAAGCTATGTTTTTATATGGAAGGCTGTGTGCTATGGATGCATGCTCTGGATGCGGGCTATGATGGCCGCGAGTGGTGTAGCTATATCAAGAGAAGAGCGTCCGCGTTTGACACTGAAAGTTTGCGGCGCGGCGCGGCGGCGCATCTTCATAGCACAACTTATTTGCCCCGCTACAAAGCTTATTATCAGTGGAAACGGTCACGTAGTTTCGTATCTTAGCTGACACATCCTCGCAGCATAGCTGCATAGCACCACTCTGGTGGAAAAGCACCCTAAGTCACGCGGGATAGGTTTCCAAAGGTACCTTCAATCTTGCTAATCCTACACGTTCTTGTTTCAGTGGCGGGAAATAAAATTATATTTTGTTTGTTATTGGCGTGGATTTTGTACCATTTAGATGGGGTCGACCACGTGCCACGTCACCTGCACCGGCTGATTGGTGTCCACCACCACCTTCTAGGTTAGAAGGTTCAGGCAGTCCTGAAGGTCAATGATATGAGACCGTGTCGTTCTATGACAATTAAGCTTTGATTTTACAATAATATAATCTTTATTATTGAACATTTAAAGTCGAGTATCGTATAACACTACTTTTATTTCGATGTTTCGTTGTCTCGTTCGCAGCTAGTGGCGCATGTGGCGATGGCCCGACTGAGACGCTTATGTATGACCTTATGGCCATTAAAATAGAGTGCAAGTTTGTTTAGCAACAAAAATGAAATAATAATATGGCAACGAAAATGCACCGCTCGCTCGCTTGTGACACGGTAATATTATTTATACAGTATTGTGACTCGGCCCTGTCCTTTTAATAACTGCCTACGGCCGAGCGGGGCGTATCCACGCGATAGGGCTGCCTGCCTACAGCATTTTTATTTCATCTACATAATTAAGTTTCTCTCTAGTTTTGTGCTTGTAAATATTTTATTTCATATGTAAAAAAAAAGTTGTGAGTGAATTAGGAAGGGTTACATAAAATACCTACATGTTATTTTTAAGTGTAATATTTAATAAAAAAAATAGATTTGAGACAGAAAAATATTTACGCCTCGACTGAGACGTACGAAAAGGTTTATTATTTTTTTTTTATATATGTATATAAAATTTAATAAAATGAAAACAAAGTCCTTTAAATTTGATAGTATTATAAATACGCATTCGTATAAAAAGTTTAATTATTGAAGAGTTTAAGCAACCAAAAACAGCACAATATCGACTATTGCTCTTTGCCATATTAAATTATTTAGGTATCTACTTAATTCAATCAAACATTCGCAATACAAATGTTTAAGCACGGCAAACTGCTTAAAAAACAATTCACACCGTTTAGTCGTCACTGCGGCGCATTCGCGACTGCATGCCCACCGGGTGCCGCGCGAACTCGATTGGCGTACGTATGACACGCTTTCCGACCGATTGTATGAAGATAGAATACTGTATAGATAATATTACCATGCTTGTGACGTGGGCGATTGTATAGTTTTTTTTTTAGTTTGCATGAGATCCAGCGTGTCGAGTTCGAAAAAAAAATTAAAGTAAACTGCAATTAAGAAAGTTATCAATCTATTAATTTATTGGAATTGTTGTTGTATTATTCTATTCAATTTATTCTATTCAAAAAGTATTTAATTTAATACAACCTACTGACTTTTTCAGCTTCGCGTAAAAATGCTAGTGTTTTGTGGTTGCACTATGACAAGGACGTTATTAATAAGAAAGCTCAGTGGCATTTGTGCCGGAAAAATTTAAGTTACAAATCTACCACAGCAAAATTAAGAAATCATTTGAAACGAAAGCATATTGGAACATATACGTCATTAATGGAGGAAGAAAACCAAGAAATTCCCTGTCGCACCACAGTTGTCCCTGACGTATCACAACCATCTACTTCAAGAACTGCTGCTTAAAGTGACCAAATTACGCTTCCTCCTCCAAAAAAAAACAAAACGTAATAGATGCCTACATTAATAAAAAAATTAGAGCAGAACAGAAGAAGGAAATCGACCAAGACTTATTGGACTTGTGCGTGGACAGTTTTCATCCTTTTTCTGTTGTAGAAGAACGAGGGTTTATTAAGTTTTGCCGATGGATACCAGGTTATAAATTACCCTCACGAAAAACTTTATCCAATTCCTTACTCGATGAGACTTATAATAAAATAGAAAAGGTAATTCATTTTCAAATGGCAAATGGGGTACAGTCAATCTGTTTGACAACGGATTTATGGACTTCGCGAAGCACAGAGAGCTATATCGCGGTTACGGGGCACTACCTCACTGATGCTTTAGAATGTAAATCAGTATTATTGGGATGTTGCCATTTCTCTGGCAATCATACATAATATAAATGATATGGTGCGAAGAATCGTGTGCCATTATAAAAAAAGTACGGTATCGGCAGAGCGCTTGGCCAAATATCAAGCGAACCAAAACAATATACCTAAGCATCTCATCCAATATGTGGACACGAGATGGAATTCCACTTTTTATATGTAACGCAGATCTGTGGATCTAAAAGAAGCAGTGCGTTCTATAATGACTCTGATCGATCGGGACTTGCCTCAAATTACAGCAGAAGACTGGAACATATTTGAAGAATTAATAGTGGTTTTGCGTCTTTTCGAAGAGCTCACTAAATCTATGAGTGGTGAAAAATATTTAACCGCAAGTTCTATCATAGTCATGACAAGGTGCCTTAAAGAGGCATTAAATATAACAATTGAAAAAACTATCTCGGAAACAGTCAGAGATATTGCGGTATTGTTAAAAGCTGGTATAACAGATCGACTAAAACACATAGAGCAAAGCAGAAACTTGTCTCTATGTACTTTTATAGACCCGAGGTTTAAGATGCAGGCTTTTGACGAACAAAGTGAGGCCATGAAAATCAAAGAGCATTTTAGGAAGCTCGTGGCAGACATCATCAGCAGAGATGAAAGAACGAAGGTAATTCCTGATGCAAAGAACCGAAAGGCGCGGCCGATGATGAGCTTAGCCCATGGTCTATTTTTGGCAAATTACTTGGGCAACCTACTACACAGCGGACTCTGCTGCCACGGGAGATCAACATGTATTTGTCAGATGGAAGATTGCCTCGAAAAATTTTTGCATGTGGTTTGAATTTCCCTTTAGAGTGGTGGAGAAACCACCGTGCAGTTAATCCCAATTTAATACAATTATTCATCCGCGAGTGCAACACTGTCGCAACATCCGTTCCGTGCGAACGGATGTTTTCAAAATCAGGATTAATAAATTAACCAACGCGGGACAAGACTTACCACAAAAAAGTGGAGAAACTTATGTTTCTAAATGTAAATAATAGTTACTTAATAATTACTTAAATTACAGAAAAAAATAACAAATATATATTATATAATAAAGTTATGTTGATATGTACTAAAAGTCAATTTTTTTTTATTTATTTATACATTTTGTACACACAAATATAAATAGACAGAAATTACAAAATAAGATTGTAAGTACAAGGGCACAGCTTATTTCAATCTGAAATTTCTTCCAGCAGGCCCGTTGTAGGAAAAAATATTGAAAAGGCAGTCAGTGTGCATAAATATATACGTTAAATACTTATGAATAGGGGACATACACATATAAAATTTATACAAAGGTACTAATACTTATAATAATACATATATACATAAATACATACTTAAATATATATACATATATCATGGACGAAAAGAGGAGAAAAGAAACAATGGAAAAAGTAAGGGCATGAACATAAATAATGTTCCTTTTGACGGTTTTTGAACACCAAGACAGAACTGGAATCTCTAATTCCTGCTGTCAGCGAATTCCACAGGCGGACAGCATGTACTGTAAAGGAATAGGATGCGAAGCCAATGTTATGGATGGGACATTTTAGGAGGGATTTGAGATGGGATCTACAAAAATCTGTAGAAGAATCAAAGGAAAACCGCTCCCGAAGATAGGATGAAGAATTATGAATATAAAATGAAATGAACTTTTAAATGCGCCTGGTAAAAAAAAACAGCCAGTCCTAAGGCTGGTTAAGTATGAAGGGAAGTTCATTCATTGATTTATTTATTAAAATTGGAAATAAAATAATGAAATTTATTTAGGACCGCAAGTTGGCATTACAAATTAGCAATCTTTTCACTCGACGAAACGAACGTTGACAAGATTTGTTTAGTTTAGTTTCGTTACGTTACATTCGTTCGACCGTCGTCGCGTCACCCAGCCGCAACCAAAACCAGTTGCAAACGAGAACCGTTTCGAAGACTAGTTTTCGTTTAATAGGAAACGGTTGGGTTTCGTCGTCAAAAATTTTGAGAATGAACCACCGTTTATGATCTCATATGTTGTCGTTTTCTTATCTGGCAGCAAGCAGTACAAAGTAGGCACAATACTGTAGGTGTTTACACCGCAACTAATTATTCCACGTGTAAGGTATAAAACCGTGAAAAGGCGGCTTGTTATTTTTGAATGTGCGATCGACAAACATTTGTTTTGCTTCTTTCAAAACTTCTCTTCCTTATTCTCTTGCGAACAATAATATTCAGTTCAGACAGACATGATTTATGTGTAATTCGCGGAGAGGAAAGAAGAAAACGAATGGGGAACTTCACATTTTTGGTCTTAAAAAAATTGGTATTAGGGTTATTTTTCTATAACTTTGATTTTCATGTGACATTGATTTTCCCTGGAGTCTCACAGTACAAAAGACATAAGCTTTTCATGAAGACTGAATAATATTTAGAGTACGCACATGTTGGCCACTATTTTCTTTCAGCAGTGAAATACGATATACTGAAATGTTTTGTAATAATGTATATTTAGAGTCATAAAACGGAGGTGTAATCATTAAACGAATGAAACAGTCATTTCAATATAAAAAATAGAGATTTTTATCTGAAATTTATCCCTACCATCAAATCTAGAAAATCCTTACTAATTCAAAACAGTTTCATCTGTTTTTCCGATTTTTTGAAGAGTTTTTTTGAGTGGTCCTGACATCTTTCATCCACTTTTTCTCCCCTAAGGGGTAGAATTCTTTATTTCTGCCCTCAAATATAAATACTGATTTTTTGAGTTAATCGAATGTGCGTTAAAATTAATTCATATGAAATCTTCGCACCCTCTAATCCCCCTTTAGGGGTGGTTAAGGCAAAATGGCGAACTTTATTATTTATTTAGAGAAGTATCCGTACCAAAGTTATAATTCTATTAAGATTTTTCATACAAACTTTCATCCCCTTTTTACCCTCTTTGGGGTAAATTTTCGAAAAACCCTGATACACATTATTCTTTATTTCTGGTCTTTAGTAAAAGTCAGATATTGTACATCGGATCGTCAGCAGCTTTTTTATCATACACACTACAAAATTAATTTTGTTATTGTTAATTTAGTTTGTTAGGTTTTGTGTTAAGTTTATGTTAATTTTGTTTGTTACGATTTGTGTTAAGTTTTTTTGTTATATTGGTTTTGTATTACAACGAATATCGTTTTTCAAGCGATATGGAGCCGGCCCCGTCGACATCAAAACCGTTTAAAAGATTTCTGTCACCACGAAAGAAGCGTAAGATGTCGCATATTTCGGAAAACGAAAAAATTATGATATTTTTTCTCAAGAAAATATATACTAGAAAAAATAAAAACAGGTGGGAATCAAACACGCGCCTTGCGCTAACGAGCACCTCATCTAAAATTAGCAGATTAATGCTAAAAATTAAAAATAATATAAATATTATATTATTTTTAATTATACAATTTATCAATTAAAGAAAAAAAGGTTGTTTGCCCCTATAAGGTCATTGTACGTTTTTCCGCCTGCCTCTGAAACAGACTATAGTGTGTAGAGAATACAAAAAAAAAGTGTGGCACTCGGGGACTGCCGCGGTAAAGCATTTTTTATCAACTTATACAATTTTAATTATTTATTTATCTTATTTATGCAGTATTTTTTTTCTTTAGTTGATATTAATAGATGGCGAGGCAGACCTTATGATATTTTATCCACACCACCAATGCTGGCGCCGGGCAATGCTGTGGCCACCACAGCAAACAACAGCATTGCCCGGCGCCAAAAAACTTCCACAAGCTCCACAGTTTACCATTTTAAGTCCAAAAATTTAAATTATAATTATAATGTCTAAATAAAGGGGAGATAAATAAAAATAAGAACAGGCGCTGGGGTCTAAAACAAATATATAAAAAAATAATAAGAAATACCAGTGCGGCATTTGAACCTACGACCGCGGTGATGCGTCGAACGTGGGTCCCGTGGCAAAAATTTAACACATTGCGCAGTTTAGATCGATACTGGATTGGTGAAAATTGTGTTTTATTGGTATATGCACTCTCGTAAGGTTTTTTCGTTACGGAATTTCTTGATTCAGTCGCCGCGCTTAAAGCCCGCGATAAAAGCTATACAATCAAGCTTAAAAAGGAATGTCCATAACAATCTTTATTATTGCTCAGCAGAATGTATGTGCGTGTCACAATCATAACACAATATCAATCAGAAAGATTTCTATATTTTGATAAAGACTCTGAAAGAATTTCTTATCTATTAGACAAGTCCGTCCGTCCGTCTGTCTGTGGTGCTGTTTCAGCGCCCAAACTGTAAGAGATAGATAAAGAGAATATTTAAGTTATAAGTTAAGAGTAGTCTGATAAGACTACAAACCGGATTTGAGTAACGTAGCACTTCCGGTTTTCGAGAAATCACGAATTTCAAACGAAACCACACAAAATCTCCGAAGTTCTCAATTAATTAAATACATTTTTTTTTAAATCAGGTTTTGGTGAACATTTGGTTCACTGGTTTGCTAGTCTCTTATCTATTAGACAAGTCCGTCCGTCCGTCTGTCTGTGGTGCTGTTTCAGCGGCCAAACCGTAAGAGATAGATAAAGAGAATATTTAAGTTATAAGTTAAGAATAGTCTGATAAGACTACAAACCGGATTTGAGTAACGTAGCACTTCCGGTTTTCGAGAAATCACGAATTTCAAACGAAACCACACAAAATCTCCGAAGTACTCAATTAATAAAATATATTTTTTTTTTTTGTTTTGGTGAACATTTGGTTCACTGGTTTGCTAGTATATTTTAATCACCTTGGTTTGATTTGGCTCCTTCAAAACAATAACATGTCAAATAAAATATATGCTAGTCGCTCGCAACCTCAGCTCGCAGATCCCTACCGAAGATTGCCGATAGCAGGCTTGATTCGGTAATCTTCGTCCGCCATCGTCGCGCGTGGTTTTTTGGCAATTGCACCGTGCATTTTGTTAGTGTCTACTGCGCGGTTTAATTAAAAGTTACAGTATAAGGCCCCGTTTATACTTTGATTAGTAATTAGGCGAGTTCATTCATGTTCTACGAGATCTCCAGGGGGGGCAACTGATATTCTTATTTTGGTATAATTTTATTCAATAAGGTAAAATAGATACAAATAAAATTAGAAAAAAACTGGGTACTTACATAAATTTTCACTTCGACTTGTGTCAATTCGCAAATATTTTTGAAAATTGATAACAGCTGGATCTTGTGCAGGACAGTTGGTGTCCTTAATTAAAGGTTTCGCAGTCAAATAACACACGATGCAAATCAAAAGCAATATTTGTGCGATTAACATTTTGCGACTTATTCTTAAAACTGAAAAATATAAACATTTGAGAGACATTCTACCTACTACAGCATGCAATGAAAGAATTCAGTAACTTATAAATAATTTATCTTATCATTAGCATCATTTGGTATCCTTCGTCGGTCACAAAGTTGATTCAGGGATTTTCAAGGTTTACTTATAAGGATGATACCATTAAAAAACCTAATATTTATTTGTTTCTTAGGTTTTCACGCACATCACTCATTAAATAAAACTAGTTTATACGGGTTAATGCACGAAACTTTATTTATTTATTGACGTTTCGCAGCCTTTTCAGGTCTGCATCGTCAGAATAATGATTTTATTTAAAATTGTCGAGCTACCTTCGAAAGAATTATATTGTGCGTTCGGTTATTTCATTGGAAGATTTTTAAAATTTTATTGTCTATGTATGAATTTATTATTTAATTTACTTAATAAAATATTTTATTTAAAATTCTTGTTTGTAATTTTGAGTTTATTTATTTGACCCTAACTACCGTAAACTACCACCGGTTCCAAAATTGGGAGACCTTCCTGAGAAGAACCGGCGAAACAAACTCAAGAGAGGCTTTCTATCTCCTTCTTATGTTAAATTATGCAAACAAAAAGAACTAATAGTATCTGATGGTCTTGCAGTGTGTGCTCGGGGTTGGGATTTTATCTCCTGTATAATAGGTTCCCAAGCTGGTGGTATATACCAACCATCTTCCCTATTGAAATTTGGATATTTTTTAATCTCAATAGCCTCGCGCATCATTCGAGGAACGAACCGCCTCCGCCGAAATAACCGGTTGACGATGCAGACCTGAAAAGGCTGCGAAACGTCAATAAATAAATAAAGTTTCGTGCATTAACCCGTATAAACTAGTTTTATTTAACCTAATATTTGTTTTGTGATCAGTACAAAGGTGTAAAATAGTTCCATCATTAAACGTTGAACCTCATTTTAATTTATTTTAATTTTATAGACGTACCTACGTATGTATACGTAAACATACGTATACGTTATGTTTATGCAGGTACTACAATATTGAGCCATAGCATAACATCGTAATATTTATAAAGTAAATTGACGTGAATAAATTGCATATTTTACCGAATATGTATAATGTATGTTTATGAGCAGGTACAGCACGTTAGTTAAAATTACTTTATAGGACTTTAACATTATAAATATCGCATGCAGATAATACGAGTATTTATTTAAAAATATAATGTTTGTCAATGATGCAAGTAAAACATGAATATGTTCAGTACACCAAGCACAAACAGCTAGCGAAAAATTATTCGTATCGGCATCGTCAAGTTTCTACATATGAAAACAAAGCAGCACCCTACCGGCCGACTGACGTTAAAAAATGCTACTATATTTGTATATATTTGATATGGTCTCATTAAGACCTTTCAAATGATACTTATATTGTAATAATTAGAAGATTTTTTTTCAATTGACATAAATAATTGTCATTTTGACTTTGCTGTTATTTCAATTTTAAAAGTTTGGGTATCCTATGTTACCCGGGATGGTGAAAGGATTCTTACGATACCACACACATCTAACTCTGTTCAGGCGTTTAGAAGTTATGGTGGAATAAATAATTGTACTTATGTAAGTACAATTATGTATGTACCCTGAATACATTACACTTTTTTTGGCAGGCATGTAAAAAGAAAATTCTGCTTACCGCTCATAATTTTAATATAAGAAATAGAGTAAAATCCGGATAGTTGCCCACACATATTTTCAGTAACTAGGAGTGATGCCTCGTCTATTCTATATCAATACAAGGAAGTCCTGTATTACAGAATGACAACTAAGTGTTGATCTTTACTTGAGTGCAGTTAGAAAGGGTTATCGCCATGTGCTATATATAGCGACATCCCTTTCTAACCATGCTCAAGACTAGATCAATCACTGAGAATCTTTCTATAATGCGGGCCTTAGTTTTAGATTCTAACTGTCGACCAACGGCTTAACGTGACTTCTGAAGCACGGAGGATCTCGAGATAATAAATTTTTGTTCACCCAACCGATGACCGGCCATTGCGATACCAATCGCAGACTGAACACGCTAACTACTTACTTGCGCAATTGAGCTCTCCTCATCATACTAATATTATATGTGAAAGTTTGATTGTTTGTTACTGTAATCATGCAAAAACTACTGAACGGATAAGAATGATATATAGGATACTCTTAATCAGGGATTTTTATGGTCCGTGTGGGATTCTCAAAAAACAAAATTTAACGCGGATGAAGTCGCAGTCGGCCGTTAGTATCTACACTATAATATGATAGTAACAATACTTACCATCCTTAACATCAAGCAACTTCAATTCTGCACAGATGCGGCGCCAACACAGCTGTGCACTGCTCTTAGTACTCCATGATGTGATTGACAGTTTTATTTATGCAAGCATACATATGCACCTACGTACAATGTTCTAAACGGAATAGGTCTGTGGGTGGGGATAGGTTTACGAGTTCCAGTGGAATCTATTCTTGAACTCGAACACACGCAGCAGAAACATTAAACTTGAGATTTATGCACTGCATGCACTAAATAAAAGTAGGTGATAAACATTTTTTTCTCATACATGCTTCGAAATTCGAGCATTATTTTAACAACCTTCTGCAAGATAAATCGAAAATGATGCCCTGCTGCAAATTCAGGCGAGCAGGGGCCAGCAAAAGTGGTATGAAAATCCGTATCTTTTGTGGATTAGTGGTCAAATAAATAACATAGTACGCTCATTTTTGTCGTATAGGTATATAGCTGTGCTTTGCTTTTGTATATAGGTATAACGCAAAAGCAAAACTCACGCACGGCGCGATTTGCGCCCGCAGAGCGCTCGAGTGGTTGCAGCACCCGCTGTGGGTTTCACCTGCTGCGCCGACGCGGCTGCGGGACCGCAGAAAACTGCAGTCTCATGAGATTTGAAATAACAGCTCTGTGGTTGCCCGCGGCAGGTGCGAGAAAAATCCGCATCGTGAGTTCTTAGCCAAAAGCGGAACGATCTTTTACTCTGAGAAATATTGGTAGCCAAGGGTAACTTATTAAAGGTTTTAAATAAATTTCGAACTATCTTGCAAATAGATATTAGCAGGCTAACTCTTAAGATATTAACTCGACATTCAATCGCGATTCGAACTCTTCTAAATCAGTACCCCCTAGCACGAACCAAAACGAATTCGTAACGTTTGCGAGTCCGAAATGTTGTTGTCAGTCCGGAACTAAAAATCTTATCACATTGCCAAATGTGTACTGATTTTTAGTTCCTGTTACGTCTAAAGTGGCGCTGCTGTTAAGTTTCCGTACAAAATTTGACATTGAAATTTCGGTTTGCAAACTATTCAAATTCGATATTGGTTCATGCTAGGGGTTCTGTACCCCTAGCACGAACCGATCGATCGCGCGAAGCGCATGATCATGATTATGCCCACTACCCCCCCGAGCCCCTCAGTTGCTGCTCACGTAGTAGGCGAACAGGCCGCCGGCCTGTTTATTTTTTTTACAGGGTACAATGGAAGATTTTATTAAATATTTTAAAGGTGATTTTACTTTACCTGGTTATAAATATTTAGGTCCGGGAAATCCATTAGACAAAGGAGAACCCATAGATGAAGCAGATTGGGTAGCAGCGAAACATGATGCATTGTATTGGATCAGTCAAAAGAAATTGAAAAATATATATAGCAGATGAAACAGCAATAAAAGAATTCAGTCAAAATCTTCAAGAACAGCATAATATAAATACGTTTATTGGGGCTACAGGTTTAATAATAAAGCATCTGCTTGAGAAGTATATGTGGCATGACGTAGTATATCCCAATATGTCGAAGAGAGAACATGCGGGTCAAGAAGCGTATAAAAACATACAAAAAGAATTGAGTAAAGCGTGGCGAACTCATAAATCTACTCAGCCACAATGCAGGTACGTGAAACGAGTTCATTCGAAATGATGCTGCTAAGGAGATTAGACGTCAATATAGTGCACCGAAGAGAGTGCGTTCTGATATTGATAATCCTGAACCTGGACCAAGTTCAAGATCTGACACTGCCGCCGATACCAGTCGAACCGACGGAGGTGCCGTATCACACGATACCACTACCAGTGCCGTGAACCCAACGTTGCCGACGACTTCCCGAACGTCCACGATAATTTTCTTAATGCTATGGATATTGACGTTAGTGATATTGCTGGTAACGTACCGGTTAATGCTGTTCAAGGTACTGGACATGGTAATGCTGTGGGTTCAAATTCAGCGCAATCTCATAGTGGGATACGGATTCCTCGCAGTATTATGCCGAAGGCACAGGTATACCGATTTAGAAAGACAAGAATATGGAACTTTTATGGCTACGCTATGAAACCACTAAAATATGGTACCGCAGATGGTGGAGTTACAACACCTATGATGAATTGTATGGTTGATTTTGTGCCGTCATATTTAACAGAAGCGGAATGGTTAAATTTACCTAGAGTCGCAAGAACTGTAGAAGTTAGATGTAAAGTAACCGTTTTAGGTACGCGCACAACATTCGGAGTTGGAGAAACGCTATCTGGAAATGCTAATACTGAACATGTACCTATTGAATATGTTGCTACAAACTAAAACGTGAGTACATATGGTACGAATGTTACTTATAATTCTTCAGCTGATAAACCTATGATTCCGTCAGAAATAGTAGCACCCAATATGAAAGAGTGTATAAAAAAAATAATTTAGATGTACCTTGTCAACCTCATGGAGTACCAAGAAAAAAATCTGTGTATTGGTGGATAAGAGATGATACGCATGCCGTTCATGGGATAGGTAATATTAGTTTAGATTGTATTACAGACCGTTTTTTGATTAACATAATGGTCGGTGAAACAATAGCTCATTATAATCCAAAGAATGGTTTCCTGACACCGAACCAAGTTCACGTTACCCCTAAATCGTATCATGGCACTAACATATCAATGAACAATGCAGCATTTGTTTCTTATCGACAGTTTACAAAGACAGGCATGTCCGCCGATAAGTTTGGTACAATCAGAAACAAAAGTGATATGTTTGGTAATGGTCTTGCCGATCAAATTCCTGCTAAGTATGGAAGCACAGTTGAATATAGTGTTAAATTCAATCCTCATGATCCTTTGTATAATGCTACCATGATACCTCAACCACAATTACATGTAGGTGTTGGTGCTATACCTCAGATCA